TTTAGGAGAATCTGGCTCGCTTTTGAGCTGATTCTGCTGGCTTTGTCAAGTAGCCTAGCCCTGGAATTATGCAGGCACCACCAGAATGGAGTCAATCAGCCACAGTTCAAGGAACCTCTAGCAATCTCTGGAGGAACCCTGGGGCATAGCTCCGAACTGTTCCTGATTTCAAGGGACAATCCCTGGTTTAGAATAAAGTCCCTTTTATAGTTGTATATAAAATGCACTTTTTTATCTTTCAAAAAGAGTTTTCCAATACTAAACTTTTCATCCAATTTCTAAATTGCTACATTTGTAAATTTAAAAAGCAAGTATAAAAGACCAGTAGTGGTAAAAAAAAAAGCACTTGTGGGTTTAGCTAATTTTGTTTATGTATATTTATCCTGTAAGGGTTCGTGTCAGAAGGTGTGACCTATGCCTACATATGGTTCCTATCTTAAAAAGTTGGGAAATATGAGGGGGTTCCAAGGAACCCTGCTGAAGAATGGCCACAGAAGGTGCAAGGGGAGAGGTGAGAGAGCAGATTGCGGAGATTGGTCTTTGACAATTTCATTTCATCTCTTGTAAACTTTGAGGATGAACTACTTCATAGTGGCTGTAGCTACAGTGGTCAGTAAAGGCTTGATTAAAAGCTCATTTACTGGTTATACAGTATATACCATGTCTTTGGCCTGGCAATTGTTCTACTCAAATACTAGGACCAGGTGTAGAGAAATGGGGACCAAGATTTGACTCTAAAGAGAGTCAGTTGAGACATAAGATAACACTCTAAATAAATAAATAAATAAATATCTAATTTACTCAGATGATGTATTATCTGAGTAGCAGACATCAGATTGAAGAGACATAAATCTCTCAAAATGCAATGTTTCACCAGGCAGTGATTACCAATCTATCCAGACTTAATACCTTCTTTCATCTACTTAGAAAATGCATTTGCGTTCCTATAGTTGATAAACATTAAGTCCCTGCTTAAACATTGCGTGGGTGTGCATTATACAACGCATGTAGCTGTCTTCATCTATGACGAAAAACAAGCAAATTTGAAGGCTAAAAACTGTATTAAAAAAACAAAACACAGTTAAACCCCAATTAGTGGTTAAAAATTAAATAATTTATTAACTGAAGGAATAAATATGAAACTACAGTATAGTGTGAACACATTTTGGGCCTGATTTAGTAAATCGTGATTCAGTGGGTTTTAAACATCCAATCATTTGAAAGAGAAGCTCTATTTTTTAAATTTCTCTTGCACTTGAAAGAAAGTTCCCTTCAGTTCATTTCAGTTTTGTAAATCAGGTTCTTTGTGTATTAGGGATAGATTTGAGGGAACACCCTTTTTTAAAGTGCTGACTAGAGGCAAATAGCTAAATACACAGTGATATTAAAGGCAGATTTTTTTAAATAACAAACATGTCATACTTACTTGCTGTGTGCAATGGTTTTGCAGAGAGCAGCCCTGATCCTCCTTTTCTCTGGTCTCCTGCGGTTCAGGCCTGCCCCCTCTCTCTCCTCATTGTCTCACTGGCTGTGATTGACAGTAACGGGAGCCAGTGGCTCCTGCTGCTGTCTTGGCCAATGAGGAGGAAGAGTCCCCAGAGAGCTGCTGCTCTCGTGCACATCGCTGTATCGAGATAGGGCTCAGGTAAGTATTAGAGGGGGCTGGGGGGGCTGCTGAGCACAGAAAGTTTTTTACCTTCGTGCAATAAATGGAACTGCAAAAGAACCATTGCTTCCAGCTATGAAGGAGCATGTGAGTTCCTCCCATGATGCAGTGCCTGGGAACTGGAAGTGGTTGATGTCACTGATCCCTCTAAGCTGCCCCACCAGGTAATTTGAGGCAACTGCAAAGGAGGTAGGAATGGAAGCAGATCACTGGATAGGTGGGTATCTGTTGGTGAGGGATGAATTTAGAGTCTCTGTCACTTTGCCCTTAATAGGGAATTAATTGATTATTACTTACTAAAGACTGATTATTGAAGACTTATTTGAGAATATCTCTTTAACAACTATTGTGTATGTATATGGTGCTTTACAAATACTATATTGATACCGATTGTGTGCTAAATTATGTCCAGGTATGAAGTTAAAATAGGGAAACACATTAATTTTCATCTCTTCAGCTCAGCACTGTTTTACAAAATCTAATTTAAAATGATAAAAGTAAATTGGAATATTATTAAACTTTAATAATGCATTCAGAATAGAAATGAATGTGATGTTTTAGTATTCAAAGGTGACTTATGCTGCACGCTCGCTTATGATTAAAGCGTAATTGGACAGCTGCATTCCATTGAAAGCTTTTTTATATATTTGGAAACCAATTCTTAAAGCAGACCTAAACTGAAAAGTAAAAGGACATTCATATAATTATTTACCCTCTCCTTAATGCAACTAAGTGTGAATGCTGGAAGAATACAGAAATAGGTGCACTAGAGAAACCATCATCTTTTTTCTGTTATGTTGTTAATGTTTAATTATATTGTAGAGGGTGAAAAATGTTTTCTTTTTTTAAATTGTTTAATAGTACGATATTATTATTAAACAATGAAAGTTCCAGAGCTGCCACATTGTAATGCACGTGTTATTTGCTCAATGGCTAGATACAACAGATTATACATCAGGGGCTATTGTGTTATTGGTATCGTTAATCTTGGATTCAAAACAGCTGTGGCTCACCTGAATTCATCGTTTCTGGCAGAATTACATCTTCCAAAAACATAAGGATTTATGCAGGCCTTACGTGGGTTGAATTTCGAACGATTTTTCGTCTGAAAATCGAAAACATTGTTCGCTGGGTAATCCGATGGTGCCATCAATGATTTCGAAAATTGGCCAACCAAGTCATAAAGTTCACCCCATATAACAGGTGAAACTTCTGTTCTTTTACAGGTCACAGCTCATGCGCATATTGTTTTCAGAAAAACGATCGTACGATTTGACAATCATTGAGTCGAAAATCGGTAATTTTTCATTAATTTTCCAACATGCCCGAGCACCGAAAAGGGGAGGAACCACGAAAATTGGCCGGTGCCATTGACCCACTAACAGAACGAAAATTGTCCGATTATTCTTAGTTCTGATGTTTGGATGAAAAATCGGTCAAATTTCGACCCATGTATGGCCGTCATTAAGCCAGCCATACACTGGTCGAATTCCAAAATAATTTTCTTTCGAAAATCTTTTTTAAGAATTTTTGTTCGACTTTCGTACCATTAGTGGGTCATAGAAATGGCCGATTTTTGAGCGACCATCGAATTTGAGTGATCGGGCACTTTGGAAATCTTTTAAAAAATTAACGAATTTTGAATCACTGATGGGAGAATCGTGTGGGAAATATAAATGATAAAGAAATGGGCTGTGACCTGGAAAGAAAAGAAAATTGTTTTTTCTGTAGCAACACGAGGGGAAATTGAAAGCTTGGTTGGTCGAATTTCAAAATCAATGGTGGCGCCATCGGGTTATAAAATGCACGAAAGTTCTGATTTTCTAAAGAAAATTTGTTTGGAATTTGACCAGTGTATGGCCTGCATAATGGGTCGAATTCTGAACACATTTTTTAAAGGACACGTGACTTAAAAACCACTCAAAAAATGTTTCTCAGTGGCGTTTTTGAGGTACTTTTCAGGCGTTTTTCAGGTGTTTTCCATTGATTTCAATGGCAGAGGTGTTTTGGGGGCTGTTTTTTTAACACACCAAACATGCCCCAAAGATGCTGCAAGCAGGAGTTTTTATACCGCACCGCAAGTGCAACGCCTCAGTGTGAAAACATACATAGATATACATTCACATACATAGGGAAGCATTTTTGTTGAGCTTTTCAGGTGCTTTTTTAATGCAAAAATGCTTCAAAAATTCAGTGTGAAAGTAGCCTTAGTAGTAACTTCAGGACACCTATCTCCTTCTTAGTTTCCTAGCACAGTCCTTACAGCAACAAATAATGAACTGAACTACACACGGACACCATAGGCAATTTCCACACTTGAGCACAGGCTGACTCTGATGCAAGAGGGATAGTAGCAACGCACGGTCACTGAAATCTCACACACTGGTCTGCTCTCACAAATGTCCTTGGATTATTGGATGCCTCCTTCCAATATCAACCAGACATGACACCCATGAATTCTCCAAAACCAGATCCCCAAAAGAAAATTCCTTGATCAACTTCAGCAAAGTTCGATAAAATAGGCCCCCCCAGCTAGTACAGTTGGGACCTTGATGAGCAAATGAAAAAGCACATTTGGACTTCCCAGAAGGGCAGAAGCTCTTCAGGCTAGGTTCCCCTTCTCCTCCTCCTAGACAGAAACTCCTCTGCTCCAGACTTCAAACTATTTATGCTCCCTCCTAGCCACCTTCTTGGCACTCACCCCCAGGGATTAACTGAGACTACATAAATATTCACACTGAAAATTTTGACTCTCTCAGCCCATTATCTTCCAGAACCATCCAGAAGGCGAGGGAAGCAGTGAAACCCACAGCCTGTGAAACTCAGAGCAGACCAGAGTAATCAAAAGCACCTCCACTGATTACAGGAGAGCTAAAGAACTAAATGTACCTATCCTAGCACTTATCTAGGAGGGTGCTACATCAGTGCTGCCATGCCTGCACTGCACTGTTAAAAACGATCCACTGCAGAGGAGGCCAAAAAGTCAAGCCCAATATTTTGAATAAAGTTGATATTTCAACTGGCAAAACTAATAAAAGCCAGTGTTGTTAATTTACTAAGTAGCAGAGTTATACATTTGCTGCACGTTACAGAAACACATGGTGACATGTGTACTGTGGTGCTTTGCAGTGGCATTTATTTTAGGACTACATGCACGCTGGACTTAACAAACTGACAGTTCTATTGGCAGAAAAATACGCTGATATAGAGCATTTTTGTACACAGTTTTAGGAGGGTTTAGCATTTTTCCTGCCAGAAAGCTCCAATCAAAAATGCAAATCAAAAGGGTTTTTTTTTCCTGCCTCTAAACGTTGAGCTTAAAGTGTTACTAAACCCTGGACCCTGCATTCACTATATCTGGTCTCCCCGGACCCTGCATTCACTATATCTGGTCTCCCAGGACCCTGCATTCACTATATCTGGTCTCCCAGGACCCTGCATTCACTATATCTGGTCTCCCAGGACCCTGCATTCACTATATCTGGTCTCCCAGGACCCTGCATTCATTATATCTGATCTCCCACAGTACACAGAACATGGAAATGCAATTATTTTAAATATAAACTGTTAAATAACTTTTATCATCAGAAGTCAGAGCAGTCTTGTGACTTCTATCAGTGTCCAGCAGAGCACTGGTTAATGCTTGTAGGAGGAGTTTTCTTTCTGCTCTTGGAGGATGCAAAACCCCTGACCTCTGTGGACAGTGCTGATTGGCCCTGTGCTGATCGCATGCACTCTCCCAAGAAAAACAAAAAACCCTCTCTAGCAATACACACTAAACTGATCATGTGCAGAATGGCTACGGGTTCAGTCTGTCTCATAAGGAGACAAGATGTGGATATTTGCGCAAGAGGAGGAGCAGAGTGGTCAGAATCAAATGGCCTTTTTACACAATGCAGAGGATTAACCCTTTAGGTTCCACAGTGAGTATAACACGCATGCTTTACTGCATATACAGACTGATTTTACTATTGTGAGTTTAATAACACTTTAAAATATGCCTCATTCTAATGTGCACAGAAATAGAGAAGAACACTGAGCTACTTCTACAGGCAAAACACAAATCTCCTGTAGAAGCGCCGTTTTTTAAGCCTTACTGGCATGCCAATGGGCCAAAACGTTCGGAATCATAGCACCCAAACTGTAGCACACTACAACATACGCCACATGTGTTGCACTGCACCGCATTAAAAAAAGGGTCTTGCACATTATTCTGTTCCTTCCCATGCCTTGGCAGCCCATTTAAAACGAATGGGCTGCCTTAACACGATACACTTTATCATATGGTAACACATGTGTAATAGCGCCCCACAATGGATCTCACAGGTATGAATCTAGGAGTAGTGACCGTTTACTTGGCAAAGTGAATGTTTACTGGAGAAGCACTGTATATGTTCACTTTGTAAAACATATAATTTTTTTTTTTTTTGCATGGCTCTGCGGTTCGGCTGGGTGCAGTACGGAAAAAGAAATGTCAGGCAACCACAGTACTCCCAGAAAGTCCACACCCAGTGCGGATCACACTAGCTTAAAGTACTTTAAAAAATGTAATATTTATTACCACTTTGTGTATGTACAGAAATGATCACTACAGGTTATTGCTGGCTGTGCAAACAGTCATGAATAGCTGTGGCCACCAACAGCCTTTCATTGCACTGTATGTGCTCAGCTAGCATAGCTACCCACATGGAAGAAAAATATATTTGAAATATATTTTAAAAATATTCTTTCCAAATATATTGACATATATTTGAAATACTACAATTTTGGCCATATTCAATATATTTCAATACACATATATACTGCATGTTGAAATGCGTTTTTATATATTACAAAATATATGAAAAATATTTTTTTAAATATATTTTTTAAAAATCTATTCTTCAGATTTTTTTTACATATAAAAAAGTCATTTTAACATATATTTTTACATATATTTGTAAATGCATTTAAAAAATGTAGATTAAATGTATTTTTAAAGACATATAGTATATTTGAAAATGTATTTTTAAAAATATTTTTCATATATTTTGTAATAGAAACGCATTTCAACATACTATATATATATATATAAAAATATATATTTTGAAATATATTGAATACGGCCAAAATTGTACTGTTTCAAATATATTTTCTTCCATGTGGGTATCTGCACACAGCTGTCAATCCCAGCCACAAGAATCAATAGATTATTGCTTCTTGCATACATAGTGTGGTTGAGCCCTGGTTCACACTGATGCGGAATTCGCAGCGTTTTCAGTGCATATTCAGCACCGCATCAGAATCGCATCCCGTTCATGCGAACCTCTGCGGGTGTGTATATTACATTAACAACACCCCGAAAGCGGTCCGCAAAACGCAGTGCAATGTGCAGAATCGGATCACAAAGGTGTGTATACCCATACGATCCGATTCTAATCGCATCGCAGCACAAATCGCATGTGATTTGCACAGGAATGCGGCGCGGTTCCTGTGTGAATCCCATGCGATTGACTGCACTGCACATATGTGAACCTAAGCTAAATGTCTATGCAAATGCAGCCCCATGCACTTGAGTTGCTGGATCTGTTCACCTACTGTGGTCTTTATGGAGGATTCAGCTCTCCCTATTGAATTGTTTAATTTATTTAATATAAAAAAAAAATGCCTAAAACTCCTGGGTGCATAGTCAGGGATTATGGCAAGAAAAATCTCACCGTTGGAGAAACCAAGACATATAAGAAGGGTTGGCCATCTATAATGAAAAATATCACTTTTGCCCAGTGAAATACTGGGTGTACCATACAGAGCTTCTCCTATTGAGGTATCGAGACTCTCAGGGGAATAGTTCTCTCTCACTTCAGCCAAAAATCATTCCCCTTTTCTAACTAATACAAAAGAAAGTCTAGAAAGTTTATCAGCTTAAATCACCCCTCTCTTTATTAGGATCATTTATGGCACCTCAAACAGTATACGCTATCATTGTTTTCCATCAAATGTGAGTACAAAGTTCCTTATACACATGTAAAGTGAATATGTATAGTAAGGCTATTTAATTACCCCCAGTGGGACATAAACAGAGATTATAAATTCGCCCTACAGCTGCTCTGCAAGCAACTGTTTCCTCAAGACATATGGAGGAATTGGGTTGACTTCCTCTACGAGGGTTCTAGCAAGTGATCCCTTTGAAATTAATTACAAAAACACACATCAAAGACAGGTGTTCGAACTGTTACAAACTTCAACCTGACTCATCAGATAAAAGCTTGAATCAAACATATTGTACAGCACTAAAAATGAACTACAATGTAAAAATGAAATGTGTATTTACATATTGTATTTACATAGTAAGACTGAGTAGAGAAGAGAGAGAGAGATGAGAGAGGGAGGAGAGAGAGAGGAGGAGAGAGAGAGAGAGAGAGAGGGGGAGAGAGGGAGAGAGGAGAGAGGGAGGAGAGAGAGAGGGGGGAGAGGGGGGGAGAGAGAGGAGAGAGAGAGAGGGAGAGAGGGGGAGAGAGAGAGAGAGGGGAGAGAGAGAGGAGAGAGAGAGGGGGAGAGAGAGAGAGAGAGAGAAGGGGGGGGGAGAGAGGAGAGAGAGGGGGAGAGAGAGGAGAGAGAGAGAGAGAGAGGAGAGAGAGAGAGAGGAGAGAGAGAGGAGAGAGAGATTATCTCACTACCTTTATCCCTGTACATTGCATTCACTAAGAAACACATCTAATTTTTTTCTTCATTTATCCACTAACTGTGGACGGGAGTTCCATATCTTTACCACTCTAACAGTAAAGAACCCCTTACGCAGTTTAAGATTGAACAGCTTCTCGTCCAACTTCATTGAGTGGCCGTGTTTCTTTTTCAGAGACCTTAGGTTAAATAGTTTCCTCCTAATGCCAGAGTTATCATTTAAAGAACTGTATATTGTGATCATGTCCCCCTCTTAGGCTTCGTTCACACCAACGAGTTATTTTAGTGCTTTTTGCTTTTGCAGAAACACACTACAGTCCATTTAACATGGTTTCCAATGGAACATGTTCATGTCTATGCTTTTTTTGAGCTGCGGAATTTTTGGTAAAGGTCAGGGACTTTTTTAAAAGCAAAAAGCAGCGTTTTTGCTACAATAGAGTTCAATGCAGAATCTGCTGAAATGCATGGAAGTGCGATTTTGCCACGTTTTGCATTTTTATTCTACCCAGCGAAAAAAAAAAAAATTTCACTTTAAAAAAAAAAAAAAGCTGAACAAAAAGCAGCAAAATGGTGGCAAAAAATGCTTGCATGCTTTACTACCATGCTTTACTACCATGCATTTCAGCAAATTCTCCATTGAAATATATTGTAGCAAAAATGCTGCTTGTTGCTACCATTGCTCTATTGTAGCAAAACGAACTGTGAAAAGCACTGCAAAACGGACAAAAAGCAAACTGCATAGGTGTGAATGGAGCCTTAGCCCTGGTTCACACTGATGCGGTGTGGAATTCACAGTGTTTTCTGTGTAAATTCCGTACCGCATCAGAATCGTACCCCATTCATGTGTACCACTGCGGGTGTGTATGATAAGTTAACAACACCCCAAAAGCACTCCACAAAATGCAGTGCGATGTGCACAATCGGATCGCATAGGTGTGAATACCCATGCGATCCGATTCTAGCGCAAAAAAGGGTCCTGCATGTTTTTGATGTGGGTGTGGTGCGATTAGAGCCATACAAAATGTATGGCTTCAATCGCAAGTCGCATGCGATTTTCACAGGAATGTGGTGTGGTTCCTATGCGAATCACATGCGATATACCACACCGCATATATGTGAACCCAGGCTTCAGTGCCTCTTCTCCAGACAGAATAAGTTTATTGTTTGTAGTCATTCCTCATAACTGAGGTCCTTTAGCTGCATATTTAGCTTTGTTACCCTCCTCAGGGTTCTATCCAGTTCCAGCACATCCATCCTGGGAACTGGTGACCAAAACCAGATTGCATAGTCAAGATGTGGACAAACCAAAGTGTTGTAAATGAGTAGATTTATGATCTAAATACCCTCTTTAATGCAGGTCTCGTAACATTGGGGACAGCAACCAACTGCTCAGGTCTTTTTACAATACATTGCAAATGGTCTTACCTATTAATTTCGATAAAATAAATTCATTCTGAGCTTGGTTTACAAGCTTACAGTTTATAAAGAATTCAGTTACGAAAAGGAAAAAGAAAGCTGCACGAATAGCTTCTCAAGGCTTGTGGTGACAATGGCACAGAGTTCTTTCTAATGAGCAGCACGATTGCTTGTTCATTCTTCTGCTCATGCACATAAATGTCAAGGTCATAAATGAATATTATGATGTTTACAGTTTTGTTTTCTCTGCAATAAGTGGGGTGCAGTGAACCTTATTATTTTTAAATATGGCTTCATTTAGAGACAATGGAATCAGGCTTGGATGGGCAATCTAACAATGTTGGTGTATGACAGAGGGCCAGTGTTCAAAATTGACTTGAGTAATTGGCTTTGTCCAGGGAGACATCAGCTGACTTCATTCATTCTTAGCACGTGCAATGAGGAGAGAGGCTGCATGTTGATGGAATATGACTCTCAACCAGGGGCGGACTGACCATTTGGAAACTCGGGCACTGCCCGAGGGCCCGGGGTCAGTAGGGGGCCCTATGAGATGCCCCTGGTACCTTTTTCATAGGCTTTTTTGAGTTTGGGCAAGGACACAGGGGCCCCATGATCCCCTATTGCCCGGGGGCCCCATGAGTTGTCAGTCCGCCCCTGCTCTCAACATTTTGCGAGACATGCATGCACATTTACATAGCTATACACTCTATAATATGCCCAGTCTGTCAACATCTCCACTGGATTCTGATCGGCCAGCAAATAAAATTCAAAATACTAACAACATACAAAGTCATCCACAACTCAGCCCCCAGCTCAGTCAGCAATCTTGTCTCAAAATATCAACCAAATTGTGATCTCCACTCCTCCCAAAATCTCCTGCTGTCTTAGCCCCCCGTTAATATTTTAACATGCTTGCATCCAGGACTTGTCCAGAGCCTCTCCCATCTTCTGGAACTCTTTACCCAAATTTGTCAAACTACTTTCTACTCTGTGTACTTTTAGATGATCCATGAAAGCTCACCTCTTCAGAGAAGACTATCCTGCCTCTGCCTAATTGCTAAACTTTCTTTCTTCATGAACCCATCCCCACAGACTTATTACCTTTTGTATCACTTGCCCCTCCCTATATTTTTGTAAGATGTCATAGACAGTGCTTTCCTACCCCTCTTGTCCCAAATTGTATCTTAATTGTACTTTCTCCCTTTAAATTGATCAGAAACTCTTAGATATTGGGGTGGTTTTGGATACTCATTTCCTGGAGTACTGTCCTCACCAAAATCTAGAACATTTGAATAATAAAAATATGGGTGGACCTATCAATCATCCGTCCTCCATTCATAGATCCTGTTTTATTCATAGAAGCTGTTTTACCTTGTAAAAAATGTTGTCCATCTCTTAAAAAAAACCCTATAAATACATTTTTCCCCCTTCTTACCCTCTGTTCTCAGATGCATAAGGAGTTTAAAGAGCTGGGGAGGAGAAACAGCAGCACATTGAATTTCCCAGTGAATGGCTGTGCGGGGGGGAGGGGGGGTTGTCAGAAAAAGTCTGCTAATTATTGTAGGAGAGTGGGCTGAGTTGTCAGTACAGCTAGAAAACTGACCATGCTGTGCTCTCTTGCCCAGTGTAGTCAGTTTTTAATAGGAAAGCAGAGGGACTGGCAGGAACACCAGGGATTTCACGCAAAGCAAGCAATACAAAGAGAACAGGATAGTTTTTCATACAAGTACATGGTACAGCAGGCACATATCAGGAATATGAATGTTGGGGTAACATTCTTTAAGCCTTTTCCTCCAGTCACAAAGAGGGTCTCTTGTCTTTTGCAATGATCCTGTCTTTCACCCAGGCTATAACTGGACTAGGGGAAGCAGCTCATCTCTCCATCACTCTGCTCTCTCCTCCTATCAGCATATGCCTTATATAACACTGCAATGCCATGAGCCTTTTCTTTTTCACTCAGTCTAATGCAGGCCATACATGGTTTGAATTCCGAATGATTTTCGTACGAAAATCGGACGTAAGAATAATCGGCCAATTTTCGCTATGTTAGTGGGGCAATGGAATTGGCCGATTTTCGTGGTTCCTCCCCATTTCGTTTATCGGGCATGCTGGAAAATTCATGAAAAACGACCGATTTTCGAAATCATTGGTGGCACAGAATGAACAACGACGTTTCGATTTTCGTACGAAAAATCGTTCGGAATTTGAACCATGTATGGCCTGCATAAGTTCTGTTGTACAAGAGATTGTAAGAGGCCGATACCAAGTCAAATTCAGGTATTTGTACTGCATCCATTAAAATGTTACTAAACCCACAACAGTAAACTCCGTCTGTATATGCAGTAAAGCATGCTTGTTATACTCACTGTGGAACCTAAGGGGTTAATCCTCTGCATTGTGTAAAAAATGCTGTTTGAGCCTGTCTTCTCTGATCCTCCCCTTCTTCCAGTGTCTCTCTCTTATATCCTGATAAAACATATCCTGAGGAGTCACTCTGCACATGCTCAGTTTTGTGTGTATTGCTAGAGAGGGTTTTTTTTGGGGGGGAGAGTGCATGTCATCATGGTTACTGTTAGAAACCATGGGACCCCATACAGCCAACCTGACAGCCCCCTAAAAAAAAACCCCACGGTTTACTATGCTTCTGGTATGAATGAACACAGAGAGCAATCGGTACCATTCAGTCATTGCATTCATTCAGGAACAGAAGGGTCTGGTAAATGTAACACATTTACCAAACCCTTCCCTCACTCTCCATCCTGAAGGATCCTATTGTGTGCTTGCAGCTACTGGTGGAAAGGAGAGGAGAGAAGCTGGCTTAGAGAACTGCGGGGGCGGGGCACACAGTGGGACCTAGGCAGCAGGAGAAAACGTATGGTGCACAAGAATGGTGATGGGTGTGGCGGGAGGGGAGGGGGCAATTACTGTAACCGATCCCCTGTATGACTCTCTCTACAGCAGCTTAAAGCCAGTGGGAGGGAGAGGAGAAGGAGACAGCTTTCAGCTGTTGCAGAGAGAGCCTTACAGGGGATCAGTTCCAGTAATTGCCCCCCCCCCCCATCGCCGCCAGTCACCTCCCTGCCCACATCCAATTCACCCAGCTGCCTGGGTCCCCCTGCTGTACTGGGCCCCATACAGGAGGACTGGCAGTACCCCCTAATCCACGGTCCTGCATCTGATCAGCACAGGACCAATCAGCGGGTCAGGGGTTCTACATCCTCCTAGAGCAGAATGAAAACTCCTCCAACAAGCTTTAACATGTGCTCTGCTGGACACTGATAGAAGTCACAAGACTATTTAGCAGTTTATATTTACTAAAATAATTTCATTTCCCAGTTATGTGAGTGCTGGGTCCAGGGAGACCAGATATAGTGAGTGCAGGGTCCGGGGAGACCAGATATAGTGAATGCAGGGTCCGGGGAGACCAGATATAGTGAATGCAGGGTCCAGAGAGACCAGATATAGTGAGTTTAGGGTCTGGGGAGACAGGATATAGTGAATGCAGGGTCCGAGGAGACTAGATATAGTGAGTGCAGGGTCCGGGGAGACCGGATATAGTGAATGCAGGGTCTGGGGAGACTGGATAAAGTGAGTGCAGGGTCCGGGGAGACCGGATACAGTGAGTGCAGGGTCCAGGGAGACCGGATATAGTGAGTGCAGGGTCCGGGGAGACCGGATATAGTGAATGCAGGGTCCTGGGAGACCAGATATAGTGAGTGCAGGGTCCGGGGAGACCGGATATAGTGAATGCAGGGTCTGGGGAGACCGGATATAGTGAGTGCAGGGTCCGGGGGAGACCGGATACAGTGAGTGCAGGGTCCAGGGAGACCGGATATAGTGAGTGCAGGGTCCGGGGAGACCGGATATAGTGAATGCAGGGTCCTGGGAGACCAGATATAGTGAGTGCAGGGTCCGGGGAGACTGGATATAGTGAATGCAGGGTCCGGGGAGACCAGATATAGTGAAGGCAGGGTGCGGGGAGACCAAATATAGTGAATGCAGGGTCCGAGGAGACCAGATATAGTGAGTGCAGGGTCCTGGGAGATCAGATATAGTGAATGCAGGGTCCGGGGAGACCAGATATAGTGAATGCAGGGTCCAGGGAGACCAGATATAGTGAAGGCAGGGTCCGAGGAGACCAGATATAGTGAATGCAGGGTCCGAGGAGACCAGATATAGTGAGTGCAGGGTCCTGGGAGACCAGATATAGTGAGTGCAGGGTCCGGGGAGACCAGATATAGTGAATGCAGGGTCCGAGGAGACCAGATATAGTGAATGCAGGGTCCGGGGAGACCAGATATAGTGAATGCAGGGTCAAGGGAGACCAGATATAGTGAGTGCAGGGTCCGGGGAGACCAGATATAGTGAATGCAGGGTCCGGGGAGACCAGATATAGTGAATGCAGGGTCAAGGGAGACCAGATATAGTGAGTGCAGGGACTGGGGAGACCAGATATAGTGAGTGCAGGGTCCGAGGAGACCAGATATAGTGAGTGCAGGGTCCGAGGAGACCAGATATAGTAAGTGCAGGGTCCGAGGAGACCAGATATAGTGAGTGCAGGGTCCGAGGAGACCAGATATAGTGAGTGCAGGGTCAGGGGAAACCAGATATAGTGAATACAGGGTCCTGGGTTTAGTAACACTTTAAAGAAGAAATATTTTAAACCATTCTGTAGTTTTTATTTATGTATCTCTTCAAAAGTTGTGAATTGAATGTTCACCTCTGCTAAGGTAATCACGTTAAAAATGCCTTTACACCAAGTTAGCACGTGCCAGCGGAAACTTGAAATCAGACTTCAGAGCTTTTTTGCTCTATAAAGCAGACAGGCGTGATGGAGTAAAGTATATGTAGGCTTGGTAAGGTAGGAATCAGTGATGGCATCACAATAGTATGTACACTACTATACATAGACTTAATAAAAAAGAAATCTTCCGTGTGTTCCACACCATCATGTATACCTAGGGTTGCTCTTTAATCATCTGAGTAACTTCTGATGTACTCTTGAAAAAAAAATCTATTTTTACTTGAATCTCAGAGCTTTAAAGCTAATTGACTCTTTGATTTGAAGTCCTCAAAGAGTGACAAAGATTATGGGTTTTCCTGCCAGAGTTATCGGCTGACCAATTGGATTTCTTTTATAAGTATACTCCTGCGCTTGTCGCCGAGTGCCTATCAAGCCCAGACAATCGCTAAATGCGCCTCTTGCTGCTTTGTGTCATGAATTTATCAGATGCTTCAGTAAAACATGTCAAGATTGGAGGCCGAGCAACCTTTATTAGATTAATGTGAGGGAAGTAGCAGAACATGAAGTCTGCTGAACGCAACAAGATGAGAACAGGATAGCGAGGGCATGAAAAAGAAAAAACAAGGTCTTTTCTATCTCCAGGAAGCGAGCAGGTTGTTACGAAACGCTCAATGCTACGAAGCCGTAATTCCGGAGGTAATTGCAGAAGCAGCAGGAAGGAGTGTGTATGATTTTTCCTGATATAGAGATACCTCGGAGGTCACAGCTGACTGAAGTTTAAATATTTAGAATACATAAAGTCTACAGATTCCTCTGATGAGTTTGTTTGCATGTACTGGACATTTTTCCAGGAAGATAAAAAAGACGCAAATTAATTCAAATCTAAATCATTAGCCTCTATAAGGCTAGTTTCACACCTATGCAGTTTGCGTTTGATCTGTTTCTGCATTGCGTTTTTGCACATGCGTTTTTGCCACGTTTTTGATGCATTTTTCAGGGTTTTTCTTTTCTTTTTGCTAGGCAGATTTAAAATGCAAAATTCAGCAAAAACACAGCAAAATGCAAAATGCACTACATGCTTTTCTGCAGCATTTCCATTGAAGTCTATAGAACCAAAAATGCAACTATTTGCATTCAAAAAAGTCCCTGACCCTTTCCAAAAAATGCTCCAGGTGAAAACACGGAGATGTGAACGTGTCCCATACCCATATGGAAGAAAAATATATTTGAAATATATTTTCAAAATGTTCTTCCCAAATATATTGACCTATATTTGAAATGCTACAATTTTGGCCATATTCAATATATTTCAAAGTATATTTCAATAAATATATTATTACACATACTTCATGTTGAAATGCGTTTTTTATATATTACAAAATATATGAAAAAATATTTATAAAATTTTTCGTCAGATTTTTTTTTTACATATAAAAAAGTAATTTTGTATATTTTTACATATATTTGTACAGTCAGGTCCATAAATATTAGGACATCGACACATTTAACATTTTTGGCTCTATACACCACCACAATGGATTGGAAATGAAACGAACAAGATGTGCTTTAACTGCAGACTGTCAGTATTAATTTGAGGGTATTTACATCCAAATCAGAACCAAAATTACAACAGTTTGCATATGCGCCTCCCACTTGTCCAAAAGTAATGCAGAATATTAATCATAAAAAAGTTTCACTTTTTAATTCCAAATCCTTTGCAGTCCAAAAAGCCCCTGAAGTCTGGAATGCATGACATTCAACAGACGCTGGGTTTCATCCCTGGTGATGTGAACTGTGTCCAGTTACCCATTTTCCCTTTAGTTTTGTCTTCAAAAAATGCTATTTCAGGTCAAATTGCATAACATTTTCAAAAAAACTCTTTGGTTGCTTTTGCAGTATTGTGTCATTGTCCATCTGCACTGTGAATATTGAAGCATTTATTATGAGCAATAATATTCCCGAAACACTTCAGAATTCATCCTGCTGCTTTTGTCAGCAGTCACATCATCAATAAATACAAGAAACCAGTTCCATTGGCAGCCATACATGCCCATATATTTCCAAAATGCTTCATATGAGGTTTTGCAATAGGATCATGAGCAGTTCCTTTCCTTCTATACTCTTCTTTCCCGATCATATACAAGTTGATGGTCATGTGTCCATAGCGTTTGTTCCAGAACTGTGAAGGCTTTTTTAGATGTCGTTTGGCAAACTCTATTCCTTCAAAAATGGTTTACATCTTGTGGTGAAAATTCACTTTTGAAGTCTTCTCTTGATTGGTGACTTTGACACACATACTCCTACCTCCTGGAGAGTGTTCATGATCTGGCCAACTGTTGTGAAGGGTGTTTTCTTCACCAGGGAAAGAATTCTCATCCACCACAGTTGTATTGCGTTCCTTTTTTTAAAAAACAGTATAGTCGTCATCTCTTTGATTTTTTTTTTTTTTCACATATAATAAAAGGATCTCATTTTTGAACCTATATTGAAATTTACCTTTTATATATTTGTAATGATGGGAATAACACACACCTGGCCATCCAAAAATTGTAGATTTGTATGGTTTAACAAGTAAAGGAACATATGCAGTAACTGTTTGTAATGTCCTACATGTTTAACCTGATTATGTATAAATCATATATTTTGTAAGCTGACAAATGCATTAGCATTCGTTTCATTTCCATCCATTGTGGTGGTGTATATATAAAAATGTTATATTGTATATATATATATATTTATACTGAATATGCATTCCAAAATTGTTTGCATTTTTAAATATACAAATATATTTGTCAAAAATATATATATTTTGTAATGAAAATGATTTCAGCAATAATATATATATAAATATATATATATATATTCAAATATATATTGAATTAAATTGTAGCATTTCAAATATATGTCAATATATTTGGGAAGAATATTTTTAAAATATATTTCTTTCTTTCTTCCATGTGGGTAGGAAATCATGTTAAATGGACTGTAATGCGTTTCTGCAAAACGCTGAGGAAAATGCTTAGGTGTAAAGCTGGGGTAAAATGTATTTCCACTTTTTCAGTCAAATTTGAGAACACCCCACTATATATTTGTTATGTGTTCCCATTTACACAGCATGTCATGCAAGGGGCTGCCTGATTACATACAAATTGAAAAGTGTTTAGGTTTGACCTAATAGGGTAAATTGAAAGGAAAATTGTATAGTGTATAGCCAGCGTTACTTTTTGGATGATTTTTCAGGAGGTGTCAAGGCTGCCTGCAAGGTTTTTGGAGCAATGTTAGAGTGAGCCTGTCCCAAGTCTGTCCTCATTAACTTTAAAAGGTATGTAAACCCTAAGGCCCTTTTCACATGGGGTGGACTCTGATCTGCTGATCCCCTGCTGATCAGAGGAGAGCAAGCGGATGATAGCTCAGTGTCCACTCAGTTCATGCAGAGCAGACATGGACAGAGCCCACTCTGCTCTATGGACTCCACTGTCTGTTTACACCCGCCTGCCCTCCAATCTGATCTGCCTAGATAGAGGAGGAGGATGGATCCCCTTCCAATCCAGACCAGACCAGATTGGAGGTAGGCGGGTGTAAACGGATGCAAGTCTGTTTACACCTGCTGGTCCATAGAGGTGAATGGAGGGTCCCGTCTGCCTGAAGAACTGACAGGAGAACCTAATCAAGCTCTTTGTGTGAAAGGTGCCTAAAGCTTTGTTCTCATGCGTCCACTTAGGCATGCGCTTGTTAGGGAGCCATGCTTGTTCACACAGGGATGCACGGTGTTCCATGCATCCCATTCATTTCAATAGGGGCGCAGTGTCTACATGGACACAGAAGCTGCTCCCAATTTGGCAGCCATGCGGGTGTGAGCCCTGAAGGCCTTACAATGCATTTCTCTTATTTGGTTTCTTTTGATCTGTTAAATATAAATAAAAAAAAATGCCCATTGATCCTGTCAGCAGTTACATTGTTCTCAGCTGTCTCTAAGCACTAGAGAACCCCTCCCCTCTATGTCTTGGAGATGAGTAGGGAG